CACACACACACACACACACACACACACACACACACACACACACTCTTTAACACTGAACTCGTACTCCTCCCTGTCCTCCGAGCTTGACCTTTAACCTCAACCTTACCAGGGTCTAATCCCTTTAATTCCATCTGTGTCATTACAGTTTTCTTATTTATTGAGAAACAGATTATTCTCAAATTAAAGGAGAATGAGTGAGAACATCACATTGTTCCTCATGTTGCTTCGTGCCTCAGTCGTTTCTGTGACGTGTCTCGACATGATTGTAGTTTATTTGACTTCATCGTCCATGAATCTTGCTGATTTAAAGACATTGGAGGCCTTGAAGTCAGACGGGTGTCGGTGGGTTATTCAGACGACTGAGGAGGTTTCATTCTGCACATGATTCTCTTTGAATTTGTTTAAAAACCATAAACTGTTCATTCTGTTGTTTAAGATCTGCCGAGAAAGAAAAAACATACGTTTCCCAAAAAGTCCTCTTTTAAGAAACAAGCTTTTCAACCAGAACTGATTCTGACAAAAGAAGGTATTGGTTGAAAGAAAAATAGAATTCCAGCAGGTTTTCTTAGAGTTCACAGTCTAAACTTCGTCCAGCAGCGAGAACCACTGCAGGAAGTTCCTCATTTTCTGTTACTGTTTGAAAAACAGAGTTTTTCTCTGTCGTCTCCTCTCTAACTTTTTTATTCCCTCTCCCTCCCTGTTAGAAATTCCCTCTTCCTGCTCTGGGAGAGGCTGTGTCTAATTCCAGATGGGGCCCCGAGGCCGGATGCACTGTGGGCTCATGGGTATGCCCTTCCTCACGCCCTCTTTCTCCCCCCTCCTCCCACCCTGGCCCCTTCCTCGGACACACCCTGACAGGTCCGATCCGGGTGGTCCAGTCTGCCGTAGACCTGGGACTCCTCATACGTACAGTTTATATCCGACAGTTTACATCCTGACAACAAGATCCTCACGGTGCACATTAATAAACACAGAGGACAGGATGTTATGTAACACGGCTGCAGACACTCCAGTAATCACTGTGTTTCACATTATTAATGGAGAGGAAATGAAAATACAGAATAAAAGCTCAGGTTGGAAAGAGACAGAAGAGAAGAGAGAGATGTTACCAGAGGTGAAGTCATCATTTACAGAAGATTTCATCTTCACAGCGTCGCATCGTTCCCTCTCAAGAGACTTCAGGATCTCATGATTCAGGATCATGATTCAGGATCTCATGATTCAGGATCTCATGATTCAGGATCTCATGATTCAGGATCATGATTCAGGATCTCATGATTCAGGATCTCGTGATTCAGGATCTCATGATTCAGGTTCTCATGATTCACAGTAAAGAAAATGTGGAAATCATCACATGTGAGAAGCTTCGGACTCGATGGATGACGATATCTGGTCCTGACTGAAATCAAGAACTTCTGGATGGATTGTTATTTTTTGCATTCATGATCCCCAGAGGATGAACTGAACCTCAGTGACGCATTAACATTTCACTTAGCACCATCTTCAGGTTAATATTTGAACTGGACTGAGGTAAAACTAATACATGGACTCCAGAAGAATCTCTGAGATCACGACACACGCAGCAGCACCTTAACTCTCACTGAGGAGATACACTCACACACTCAGTGCTCACATCCGTTCAGTGCACAAACACAATCTTCCTTGTTCGCTGCTCTATCGTCTCCTGTCGGTGCCGTGACCCATTTCAACATGATGCTGGGAGAAGAGACCCAACGACACACGATGCTCCTGAGCGGCTGCAGGCCTCCGCCACCTTTGTCTCTGTTTACTTCCCATCAACGATTTCTAAATATAAATGGAGGCAGACCTTCTGCGCTGAATATAATGGACGTCTAATGAGAGGAGAGGGTAATGGTCTGTGTTTGGACCATTTGGAAAAACGCTCACGGGTAAAGAGAGTTAAAGTGTGTGTCTCTATTCAAGACTCCATACAAACTGTGTGTGTGTGTGTGTGTGTGTGTGTGCAGAGGTATGTCAGTTTGTTTCATGTGAACACATTTACCTTAAAGCCGGTCTTGCCCTTCTTGCAGCAGAGGCAGGCCAGCATGAGGAAGACGAAGGTGAAGAGGCCCAATAAGGAGACGGCCACCACAGCCAGGGACGACGACCAGGACAGCTCACTCAGCGGAGCGCCATCTGCAAGACACCGAGAGGGACATCTGGTATTTAAACTGCGATCATGTGATCAAATGCACATTAAAGCACAGATGAGAAAGAAATTAGAGCAACAATAAAGTGAGTTGAATTAGTTTGACATTACATTTGTTTGATTAAAAGACAGAAAGAAGTAGAATAATGATTGGTTTGGTTTGTTTACAGTATTTGCAGACTGTAGTTACGTCTCCAGCAGTGACGGAGGTTTCTTCTCCCCCTGAGTTTCTTGTTCCTAATTCTCATATTTGAGCAGTGGGTGATATTTCTGTCTCACTCCGCTCCGATGCTCTGAAATGTAACGGTTACCATGGAGACACAATTGGACGGACAGCATGCAGGACTGCCCCTGAACCCAACACACACGCACACAGTCATTCTGCAGCCAGTGAGTGCTGATCCTCTGAAAGCTGCGGTGCACATGGCTCTCAGTGAGCATCAGCCTCTCATTGGAGCCTGACAGAGAGTGAACACTGGTGTTTGGGAATCTGTCGACGGAGGAAGAGTCGAGAGGATTCAAAAATAAAAACAACAACATGCAAATTCAACAGCTAAATGCAGGATTCTGGGCTTTTTGCATCACAGACTCGTTTTACAGAATCTTTCACCAAACTCACCTGAAAAATGACAATATGAAGCCACACGCAGCAGAGGGGGGGGGAGGGGAAGAAGCCAGCTTGCTAAATCGGTCAATAACCATTTAGTGTTCTGATGTGCAGTACAAGAAATTCAGATTTAATTACTCTTTATTTGTCAGGGGGGTGATTACAGAGAGCAGAGACAGAGCTGCTCTGTTGTGGTTTATTTAAAGCTCCCTCACTCACACACATGTCCCGCTGCAGAGAGAGAGAGAGACTGAGAGAGAGGCTGCAGCTCGTCATTAATATTTAAGACACACGCAGACAAACACAACAGCTGCACTTGTACGGTACAATTGTTGTTATGATCAATTGTACGACTGCGACATCATAGAATCTACAGTGAATCTGACACTTGTACAAACCTGTGTATGATAATCACACAGTTAACATTTAGGATTCATACAACAACAACTGCAACAACAGTCACTTCATCATCTTTTTATTCAGATCTGTACCAAACTAAACTCCTGGATTTACGTCTAAATGTCTGATTGATGAATTATTCACTGAGAAATTAAAGAAAATGTTCAAAATCAAATCATTAACTGTTAAATAATAAAAACGTAAACCCAAGTGAAAGAAGTCCTGACAACACTTCCTCCAGCTGAGAGGAGCAGAGACCTTGTTGTTGTGTGTTTGTGTCGAATCAATAGCATTGACTGCTGAGCTCAATGAAATATAGAGGCTTCACCCTCTTGTCTGGTGTAATGAGTCTGAATCCAAAGAGACAAATGAGTTCTTCTAAAGGTCGTTAAGCTCACGGAGGAAATGAACCCCTGAGCACTACCTGATGCTGTGTGCTCCACACAGCTCTTCTCTGAGGGGGGAGCCATCTTCAGAGGAGCACATCCTGATGACTAAATGATGAAAAGGGAGCGAGCATGAGAAGACAGGAGCAGAAGAAGAAAGGATGTGAGAAGAAAGACGAGGCTGTGTACTCTGCAGCGCTCCGCCCCTGGAGAGTCTCTGCTCAGCACTCAGCGCAGAAACTCGTGGAGATGAAGAGCAGCGAGCGGAAGGCGAGAGCTGACAGAGGCAGAAACTGCTGCGTGTTATGAGTCTATCTGACAAGCTCACGTGTTTGTTCTGCACAGAGCGAGATGGTTGAAAACAGCTTGATGCATTGACTGTGAACACGTCTGCAGATTCTCAGACTCTCTGCGTCGACGCCTGTGAGCCGTTAGAGCACCAGCTCAACTCCGGGCCGCTCGTTAGCTCCGCTCATTAGCTCCGCTCATGTGGAGACCAGAATCGACATTTTAGCAAATACACTTGATTACGAGTTAAATGAGAAGATTGACACAGCTGCCACGTCTCTGAGCCAAAGATGGAGCGAGAACGAGGCGGTTAGCTTAGCCAAGGCTCCGCTGGTTGCCTGGCAACCTCAAAGTGATGACTGAACTCAGGAGGTCGTTGCACCAGATCAAGAAAAACCTACTTTACTATTTCTGTCTGAATTTTAGACACTGAAAACATGACAGCGTCCGTAAGGTGGAGCCAAACCGTCACAAACGCCCCCTGGTGGCTGGCGGCAGCACTAAACATGCCTCCTCCATGTTAGCAGATGGGACATGGACCAAACTAAGATGGCTTCTGTTATTTTAGGTCTTTTTTTAAATATAATTATCAAACTAAAATGATGTAATACTCAAAGGAGATAACAGTTTTTTTCACTGCATCAGAATTTGAAACTCTACCGGTTCATAAATATGAAGCTTAATTCATTCTTTGCAGAAGCTAATCGTTCCCACTCTGTTTCTCAGTCCGTCTCTTGTATAATCAACAGAGTCAATAAAGGCTCTCTATTCTGTTCTATTCTAAAAATAACTAAAATACCCCGAGTATCCCATGTCATTAACTTTCAGCCCCATGAATATTACAAATTAAGTCTAGAATGTGAGATTACAGGGATTATCGTCATTAAAACGATTTGTTTCGTGCAAATGATGCCTAATTTCTGGTTCATCTACCAGAACAAATACGGAGTAAAATCACAAAATGCCAGCCGTGCCCTGCAGATGGTTGGAAACTGGGTCAGGAGTTTAGGAAATGCTCGTTCAGTGGGAGCTTTTTACAGTGAGACGTACACATGAGCCAAACGGTGACAAAGACGGAGCTTCTCCGCTCACAGCCGACGGTGCAACTGTATCAGAAACGCTGGCAATGGTGAAATTAATCATTGCTCCCCCTCGGCAGCACTTCTGCTGACACCACACTTTTCCCAGAGAGACACGGGGACTGGATGACAACAGGAGGACTCATCAGTTAAAAATACAACAACAGAGGCGGAGCAGAAGATGACGGGGGCAGCAAACAGATGGAGGAGGGAGGGGTGGGGACGGCTAAACAAATCCATATGGGCCAAACACATGTGAACTGCATGAAGCTGATGATCTGCTCACCAACGATCTGTGTTACGGCCAGAAACAAAACCAATCTGGTGTTCAGCTGCTGGTGGACACAGAAAGATGCAGAGATCGTCCTTCTGGTCATTTGAGATAAAAAGAGACAAACACACGCAGAGACACACAACAGCTGTGACTCGTGGTTCGTCATCAGCTGTCTGAACGTAAACACAACCAAATGTTAGCGAACAGCCGTCAGGGTTTGTGACTCGAGAGCAGGCTGCAGAAAAAAGATGGAGAGAAAATCAGCTGGTTTCCATGGTGACTGCTTCATTCGAATCCTAATTCACGTCGTCCTCACAGACGCTGCGCCAAGACAGAAAAAAAACCCCGTCCCTGACACCAGAGAGGAAATCAACCTTTCTACAAACTGTCCATCAACGTCACAGAGAACAGAGGCGTTAAAGAGCAAAGACAGGAACAACCGAGTATCATTAGCGTTCCTAATAAAGTGCTGACTCAGTGTTTTCACACACACGTTTGACATGAAGACATTTATGTGACAACTCTCGACATGTCCCCGTCAACAAACTCCCCCAGAGTCTTCTCACTGGATTCAAACAGTCCTAACTTCCTGTGCTTTTCATCGTGTCTCTCGTCGTGTCTCTCGTCGTGTCTCTCGTCGTGTATCTCGTCGTGTCTCTCGTCCTGTCTCTCGTCGTGTCTCTCGTCGTGTCTCTCGTCGTGTCTATAACTATGTGAGATTCTAATAAAACATCAGATTTCACAAAGGACTCTGAGGATTATTTATTCGTATCATGAGGGAGTCGTTCCACCTCCCATCAGCCCACTGCTGTAACCTAGTTACACAGGAAGCTGGAGTTCAGAGCTGCGACCCACAAAACTCTTCTGAGTTCAACAACCGTGAAGTGATGAGGGAACAGGTCTCCAGATCGGCTGTGTCTCAGGAGTGTGTTCTTTTAGTGTGTGGATGTGTTGTGTATATTTCCTGTGTCACAAACACAAAACAGGGGGGGGGGGGGGGCAGTTTAGTGTTTGATGTATTCGTTACTCGATTATTTTCACTTGGAGACTTTATCTGGCCGCTGGAGTTTAAAAATTAGATTTTTAACTTTCTCCTTCTTTTCTTATATTTCCTCATTTATCTTTCCTTGTTATCTTCTTCTCTTTCTTTAGTTCCTTTACTTTCTTTTCTTTCTTTCACTCCTCCTTTCTTTACTTCTGTCTTTCCTTGTTTCTTCTCTTTCCTTTTAATTTTGTCTTCCTCTTTTCCTTTTTTTTTTTACCCTGAATCCTTTTTCTTTTCTTAATTGGTTTGATGTTCGCTGAGTATTTCTGAATCATTACGCTGAAGCTCACATTAGCTCCTGAGGCCTCACTGATGGTGACTGTGTCTGTGCAACACATCAGTTTCAAGTCACCTCTCTGAGGATCCATGTGGTGAAAAGTTTCACCTGAACTCAGCAACTCTTCAATATTTACACTCGTTCATCAGCTGAGACATTCAGTTAAATGTGTGTGTGTGTGTGTGTGTGTGTGTGTGTGTGTGTGTGTGTGTGTGTGTGTGTGTGATATCTGTTAAAGGTCACAGCACAGAACCTCTGCCTCCTCATCCTCCCACTGCAACATGAATGTCTCTCCTTTGTTTGCCCTCATCTTGACTTGCTCTTTTCTCTCCATCTTCATATGTCAACACTGTCCCTGGGGATGATGGGATTTCACTGCGTGTGTGTGTGTGTGTGTGTGTGTGTGTGTGTGTGTGTGTGTGTGTGTGTGTGTGTGTGTGTGTGTGTGTGTGTGTGTATTTATATATAATATAAACAGCACTTTTGTTTCTCTCTGCAGCTTCATTATGGGAAATATCACGTCAAATCAAACTATCACACACCACAGACTTGTGTTTATTTCTTCCTCCTTCCTCTTCCACTTCCTCTTCCTCTTCTTCTTCCTCTTCCTCTTCCTCTTCCTCTCTCCCTCA